CTACTCATTGATTGGATTCTGTTCCTAAATTCTAGTTATTGGCCATCAAGGTAGAAGTTTTTTGTTGTTGTTAATATTTTGGCATTTGAATTTCTACATATTACACCCTAGACAGAACATTTTCACCAATTTTTGAACTGAAGCCCTAGAAAGTTTTTCTTGAGTTTCTGATTCAGACACTGTCTTTCCCTGAAAGAAATGGATGGGTAGAATTAGACAAATATTCAGATAATTCAAGTGAAAAAAAAAAACTCTTTGGAGTAAAATAGCCAAGTCATTTTTTATCCTGAAATTGTTGGTGAGATTTTCCATTTTCTCTTCCAAGTATGAAACAAAGGAACCACTTACCTTTATTTGTTTCTAGCTGAGATAAATTTTAGTTCTAAGACATAAAATAAAGCATTTAGCATTTTACATAATATTATTTAAATAAAAATAAATCACCTGAAAATGAAATATCTGTATTATCAAATGTGAATGAAGGAAATTTCAACCTACACCATCAAATAAACAGTATACAATTGCAAAAAATAAAAGGCCCTGGCCAACCCAAGGTATTTGACATACCCTGCTTTAAATCATGCACACCATAGTAAAGGGAGTCAAGAGTAAGTAGATAATTCTTATTGAGAAACAGTAGTGAATAATAAGAATTTGTGATCATTATAAGATAGTTATGAAAAACTCAAACTCATTGGAATGTTTTTTTTTTCTTCTTGGTATTGATTGATTATTACCCTCAAATAAAATTGTTCCTTGGAGATTCAACCAATGTTGGCATATACCAAAAACAAAGAAACAAGATTCATGTCCTAAGGCACAGAATAAAACAATTTTCCAGACAGGCAATCAATGTTTCATTTGGGTTCTTGAAAACAGGTAAATAAGGCTACAAAACCTGTATTGTCACCTACTTTTTAGCCAAGTGAAGTGATCACATTAACCATTAACATTATTGGGTGAAATTAACTGGAATAATTTTCTTTGACCTCTACCCCTTTTGGTTATATCATCCTGTGTCCTCCCCTCTGAATTGTCTTCCAACTCCCTGATTCCTGCCACTCTCTGATTGTCTTGGTGCCTGAGTTTCCATTTCTACTCTCTCCACAGGTTCTATTATCATCCTGAGGGCCTGAAAAGATTTATGCTCAGCCCAAACCAACTCCTGGCTCTCAGCACAGGGACCTCATGTCCAGTGGCTTTCCCTTTCCTACCCAATACCCTTCAGGCATCCTCAAGCAAGTTGTAAATCTGGACCTTAATCTTTACCTGAAACAGCTCTGGTTTTTAAATTTCAAATTAAGATTCTGTAATTACTTAACATAAAACTCTCACTCTCTCTAACAATTGCTCAGTTCTTTCCAATGATTTAATCTCATTTTTTAGTCACTTAAACATATTATTGAAAGCCCTTTGGATACCTGGTAATGTTCTAGACATTGGATCTCTAGAGTGATTCAGTTAAGGAAGGTGATTCCATTGAAATTCTGACCCTTCTTTTCTCTCTGACCAAGTCTCTCCTAACTTCCTTTCTTACACAGCTTAAATCCCATGATCCATGATTTCGACTACTCTGCTTTTAATATCCTGACTTCCTTACTCATTATTTTTCCATCATCTGTTGGTAGGAGCCCAAGCCAAGAGGAATCCAACCAACTCCCTTCTCAGTGAATTAACCTCAGCAACTGAACCTAATTTGGAGGAAATCACATAATTTTGTAGATAGATACCACAGTAAATTCGTGGTCTCTACAACCGCCATTGGGTTCTCAGCACTTCTTAGAAATAATTTCTTCTAATGAATTATGGCATGTGCTGGTAAATGGATGGAAATGGAGAATATCATGCTAAGTGAAATAAGCCAATCCCCAAAAAACCAAACACCAAATATTCTCTCTGATATGTGGATGCTGATACAAAATAAAGTTGTGAGAGGAGGACTAGAAATTCGTTAGATTAGACAAAGGGGAATGAAAGGAAGGAAGGGGGAATGGGAATGGGAAAGACAGTAGATTGAATCAGATATAACTTCCTACGTTCATATATGAATACATGACCAGGGTAATTCCACATTATATACAACCACAAGAATGGGAAGTTATACTCCATGTAGGTGTAATATGTCAAAATACATTCTACTGCCATGTATAACTAAAAAGAACAAGTAAAAATGTTTTTTTAAAAAAAATACTTTCTTGGGCTGGGGATGTGGCTCAAGCGGTAGCATGCTCCCTTGGCATGCATGTGGCCCGGGTTCGATCCTCAGCACCACATACAAAAAAAAAAAAAAACAAAGATGTGTGTCTGCCGAAAAACTAAAAAATAAATATTAAAAATTTTCTCTCTCTCTTTTAAAAAAAAATATCTACTTTCTTCTACCTTGTCTTAGCTCATTTGCTAGATCCCCTCATACTTATTTCAAATAATCAAGTGAGCCTAATAATGTTGGCATCCAAGGCAAATGGTTTCACAGGAACCCACAAGTTAACTCTATAATACATGGTGTGACTAACAAATGGTGCTAATTGCTACCAATGTACAAAATCCAGAAGTGTCTTTCTTTCATTTTTCAGGGCTAAGTGGGACAAATTGTTGAAGTAGAAAAACTAATGTGATTTTCCTTGGAGTTAAACATTTAGGGGGGCAGGATTAACTTGAACTCTCACTCAGCAAATATAAAGTAGGAGGTGTTTCAGTGGTATACATCAAGAAAGGGCACCCATATATAACCTCTTTGGACTGATTAGCAGTTGCAGTACAATTGTGATGAAGGGTGCTTCAAAACTTAGTGGACCCTTGGGCAACTATTCCCTATCTTTTTGCCTTAGTTTTTCTATCTGGGAAATATGCTTAGTAGAAGTGATTTAATAGGGTTTTGTGGAGATTGAATGGGACAATAAATGTAAAATATTTAGAAAAGTATCTGATCCGCATGTTCATTATTAGTCGTCAATCTCATTTCCATCTATACCAAACACCAAATATTCTGCCACACTAAATTTCCTTAACATGCTCTCTGCGTTTGCAGGCTTCTTGTCTTCATTTCTCTGCCATCTCTTCACTCCATCACCCCAGTGAACTCGCTCTCCACGGCCTTCTTGACTCTAAATCTCCTAGACTCTTTTTCTCTTGTTCTTATTGGACCTCTCGGTATCATTTGGCACTACTGACCACATACTTCTTCCTGAAACTATCTTTACCAGCTCACAGGAAGACACCCCTCATCCCCTCCTCTACTTCAGGTTCCCACCCCTTTTTGAAGATTCTGAAATAGACTTTCAACACTGGTGCTCCACCAGGACTGGTTCACATGGCCTTTCTTTTCTCACTCTGCCTTCTTTCCCTGGTGTATCTAACACATTCTCTGTCACTGGGGTAAAAGTTAAAGCACCATGAAGAAAAGTAGTGTCTCCAGTAGTGTCTTTTCCCACGGAAACTTACAGGTACTCTCCATTCCCTGAATCAGGAATTTTTTGAATCTGCTTCCTCAGCTTGAACTGAAAGAGTTCCGATAGGACAGGACATTAAGTTACCCAAGTTATTTGGTACGGCAAGTTGCAAGAGGTTAGGGGCAGGTGTTACTTAAAAGTTTATTCAAGTCTCATCACTCCTGGGTTGGGACACTATGAACTTTTACTACTGAAAAATGTGGGTAGTGAAGGGTACCTCTGTTCTCTACAGTGATGCTCAAGTAATCTTTTGACATGCAAATCTAATCTACAACATGACTACCTAGGTAGTTTTAAAATGGCTTCCTATAGTCCTTATGATAACCCAAAGTCTTAAACTTGGCTTAGAAGAGGTAGATTATCTGATTTTTCTTAATCCTGCCACTCCACTATGAAACTTCAACTCCCAGAGGTACTTTATTCTGAATTTTTTGCACAGACCACTTATCCCTAGTCTTGATTCCTTTGCACATGGCATTCCATTTGACTAGAACTCTTACTTAAGCTCGTATTCTTCTGCCTGATTAGTGTGTCACTAACTCCCCATCAATCCTCAGGCAGCAGCTAAATTATCATGTCCCCCAGGCATGGAACCCTCCCTTGAACTTGAGATTAAATGCATTTTGCTATTTAATTTGTTAGCATCTAGTGTTTACCCATCAACATTTATAATTGTTGACTTAAATCCTTGTTATAATTGCTTTTTTGTTACTTATTTCCTCATCCAGGATGTAAACTCTGTGATGACAGAAGCTATTTTGTTCTCCGTTTTATCTGTAGAACATAAATAGAGTTTAGAATATAGTAGATCTCAATACATATTAATTAGATATTCACTTAGTATTTGTATAGCTGGATATTTTGGAATGAGAACAAGAGTAGTATGAGAGTATTTAGCTGCAATTAAGAGTTCTTGACATAATTATCAGGATGAACATGTTAACTTTGTTTCCTAGAGAACATTTTTATTTACAAAAATAATCCAAGAATAGTTTTGAGAGTAATGAACTAAAATAAATGATGTCAGGACAGTCATGGAAATGTCAGAGTCAATGTAACTTCTGAGTTCTTTTTCTTGCCTGGTTCTTCCCTGTACAGTTACAGAAAAAAAGCTCTTGCTATGTGTAGCATCATCTGATTCCTGAAGACCTACTCAACGGGAACTTGGAGGAGATAGTGAACATCAGATGGTTTTACACTTCATTCTAAGTCAAACCTTCCTCTTGGGTGTCTGTCTTAGAACTCAACAACAGTTGTAACTTCAGTGTGTCACTGGTGATGAAGTACCAACATTTATTAGTTTTTATTAATTACATCAATGCCATCTCTATAAAGCATTGATATCACCATTTCCTTATGTTCCATCTGATATGTTTTCTTGAGTGGGAAAAAAAATTGTGAATCTATGGCAGAGCAGAACACGGAATGTGACTGATCACCTGATAATTTGGCTTTAGAAATGGAAGTCTGAGGGGTTTCCTCTTCGTGTAAATGAAGAGAATTTGGAACATGGAATCCTGGGGATGAGAAGAACTCCATTCTTCACCAGCAGAGAATAATGGAGTTTTCCTTCTGTGTGGCTCACAATTGACTGCATTGATTCCTCCAATCTTGAGGTAAAGCCATTCCACCTGTGGGTTTCAGCAGATGTCATTTCCAGGTAAGTTTCTGTTAACTGCAAGGAGGGATACAAAAGCCATTTTCATGAACCTAAGTGGGTATAGTTGTGGGGGATTTTTGCAAGAGAATTTAGGGGCTTGATGGCCCACCCATCAACAAAAGACTAGGCCTTTTAAATTTTATTGCTAAAATGAATCAAACTATTATATTTCAAGTAACATTTATGCTACAATCAACTGGTTCTTCAAACTAGGTTGCAGAATCCAGGTTTCAATCTCAGGCCTCCAGGCTTTGATTAATTAGGGGGGATAATTTATGTCCAAAGACAGAAAGTCTCATCACAAAGTGGAATTTGCACCAAATGAAACACTAGGTCCCCAAAAGCACCTATCCTGAAGGACCTCACCAATACAGCATCTCCAAGAGAAAGTTTAAAAAGGGATACAACCCTCCTTCAGCCTGCACAAAAGTCTGCATTTGACCTTGACCTGATTTAGTGCCTGATCCTACCAGCATCCCCTGGTTTGGTCAAGGACAGAAGCTGGGGCTCCAGGACTCTCTAGTGTAGGGAATGATGACTCCTCTAGAGATGAGACATAGAAAATATTTCTAAATAGTTTACTTCCCATTAACAGGGTCAGGTCCTATGGACTCAAACACAGACACATACTCTTTTCTCCTTGGTTCATTTGCTGTTTGCTATTGTTCTTATGACTTTTTTGTTTTGTTTAAAAAGTAAGCATTTTTACAAAGCATTTTAACAAATAATATGCGTGCTTGAAAAAAAAATTTCAGAGGACATGGTGTTGTGTCTGAAAGAATCTTATTGTTTCTAAAGACTGAAACATGTTCAGACTTGATCTGGATGAAGAATCTTTAGTCTATGCAGATACAGCACAGCACTCCTTGCATCTTCCTCCACTTCCCTTCTCAAATTATGTATGAAACGAATATTGCAGACTGGTTGCTCCCCAGTGAATCCTAAACTGTCCTAAAGATCATTTTCTACCACCCTGAAAGCTTAACTACAGCTATGTTTAATTGGCGCTGGTGGGCAATTCATCTGGGGCGCTGCAGTGTGACTATTCAGGAAACGTCTGGCTGCCATAGTGCTGGCGGGCTTATGCCTCTCAAGTCTCACAAGATCACTTGTCGAAATGTTTTGGGCTGCAATGTTGATGATGTGTCCAGTTCAATCAATCAATCAGCAAATATTTATGTTAAATGCATTTCTATCAGTACTGCTGACATGACACGCCCCCTCTGCTGGCCAAGGTGCTCACATGAGTGGTGTTGAGGCAAAGACCAGGCTGATCAGTGGTTGGGTATTTTGCTTCTGGCCCTTTCCAAATGGACACACCAATTAATTCATTGAGCACCTACTATGTGCCCACATTTTTTGATAGGCTTATGTTTCTTCCAGTTGAACGAAACTCTCAAAACCTACAGCTCTCTCCCTCCCTTTCACGTTCCTTTGTTTTTTTCAATAACAGTTATTATATTAATACCTAGCATTTATGTGGAATAGGGTTGTTAACAAAGTATTTTTATTCTTAAATTCTTCCAAAAATGCTGACAGGGAGGTGTTTTCCCTCTTCTACAGCTAAAGAACCAGGATATTGGGATTTGTCCAAAGTCACAGCCAATGAAGAGTGACTTTCACCAGCACCACATTTCTCTGTTACATATAAAGCACAGTAATAAGTACTTGGGTTTGGAAACAGGATTGATAATGAGATGAGTAAAATAGTTTTTGACCTCAAAAATTTAATATCAGAAGTAATGCAATAAATTGGTTTCATTTGAAATGAGAACTGAGAGCCCAATACATTTCTGAACCGCTCCCTCATTTCCATAGAGTGATGACCCGAATCTCTGGCATCTTCCATCGCGACCCGGAGCTCACAGGAGTCTTCCTGGCACATGTCTGTCTTTGGACCTGATTCAAGCTACATTTCTCAGATCGACACTTCTTGAAGTCTATGTGTACAGCTGTACTCAATGCAATGTCCATTTCCTTACCTTCCCTGGCTCTCCAATTCACTCCAGTGTGGCTGCTAGCCCTGCTGTTCCACTCAAACAGCTTCTGGGAAGGTTATGGTTGACCTTCGTGTAACTGAAGTAAAAAATATACTTTTCTGTCTTTATCTTTGGATTTTCATGAGGCAGAAAAATAGTGGTAAACAAAGCATGAACTCTGAGGTTAGACCACCTGGGTGACATAGTTTGCATCTTGGGTGTCCCCAAAGCCCCACGTGTTAAATGCTGGTTCCACAGAGTGGCAGTATTGGTTTCTAGTAGAAACCTTAAGAGCTGAGGCCTTAAGGTGATGGGGGGAATGTACTTGAAGGAGATTATGGACTCCCCCATTTTCTCCTCTCTGTCTCTCTTTTTGTGTCCCATTCATGAAATGAATAGCTTTATTCAACCATGTTCTTCCCATAATGATGTACTGCCTTCCCACAGGCCCAAAAGCAATGGAACCAATTGATCATGCACTGAAAACTCCAAAACTATGAAACAAACCAAAACTTTTTTGGTATTAATTCTATTATCTCAGGTCTTTGTTGCAGTAGTGGAAGGCTGATTTACACACTTGGTTTTCTAGTTGTGCGTCCTTAAGCAAGGTACTTAAACTCTCTGTGCTTCACTTGCTCCACCCACAAATTCAATATGACAATAGCGTCTACATCATAGTACAGGTGGGAGGATTCCATGAACTCATACATGTAAAGATCTGGGAAAATAACTGACTTGTATTAATGTTTAGGTATTAGATATTATCATTTGTTATTATTTTGTCAGATGCTTGACATGCTGATATGGTTTGGATCTGAAATGATCAACCCATTGATAGCATTATAGTTTAAAAAATGGGCTATTAAGAGGTACTAGAAGTTTAGACGATGATGCCTTATTAGAAGAAGTTAATCCTTAGGGGCATGTTTTTGAAGGTCATATTTTGTCCCCAACCCCTCTTCTTCCTATATCTCTTTTTCCTGGCCACCACCAGGTGAGTAGCTTTGCTCCATCAATTGTTCCCAACCATGATGTTCTCCCTCCCCATGGGCCCAGAAACAACACAGCCAACTGCTCATGAACTGAAACCTCTACAACTTTTAAGTTAATTTCTCAGGTATTTAGTCACAGCAATGAAAAGCTGACTAACACACATATTAATCATCTGTATTCTTTCTTATTTTGCTTAATATTTAATTTTTAGTTGTCATTGAACACAATATCTTTATTTATTTATTTTTATGTGGAGCTGAGAGGATCGAACCCAGGGCCTCGCACGCACATGCTAGGCGAGCGCTCTACCGCTGAGCCATAATCCCAGCCCCCATCTCATTATGCTTTAACTCCAATCGTCCATTGATTTCTCTGGTACCATGTACTCATGATTTTATACTATCTGCTATAGTCGTATTTCTCACTCTCCTTTGCTATATTCCCACCCCTCTCTGTTCTTGTTTATTTATTTTTTACTTAACAAATAAACATTTAAGTTTTTCAAGTTTTACTTACAAGGTTTACTCTTTATATCATTTTTCTACCCCTCAGCAATCTCATCAAAATTCACCCATTAGAATATTAAATTCATTCAAATTCTCTTTCCAGCACAGGTTACTCCTCTGAATTCTTGATTGACATGTCAAACTGCCTTTTAGATGTCTCCACTTGAATGTCTCCCATACATCAACTCAACTTTTCTCCCAAAGCAGTCACTTTCTGGTATCTCCCCGTCAGTAAATATAACCAGCATTCAATGTGTTGTTGAAGCTATTAAGCCAAGAATTTTTCAGACCACTTCTGTCACACCCATCCCTGATATCTAATACAAGCCCTAAGGTTAAGACCTCCTTTATCCTCTGATTCACATTCTTCACACCCATGCAATATCTTTAAAAGAACTCTCTTCTCACTGCTCTAACTTATGTCTATTTTCCACACATTGAAAAGAATGATCCTTTCAAACATGAGGAAATCCTATCATTATCTGATTAAATCATGTCAATGTCTTCCTTTCCCTCTCATAATAAAGTCATACTATCTACTTGACAACTCACAAAACCTACAAAGGTCAACTTCAAATCATCCCGTACTGCCTCTACTTTTCTTACTGTAGTCCTTGACTCTTCTGCATTTCATTGAAAGCTCCTTGCTCCCTCTCAGTGCAAGGCTGTTGCACATGCTGGTCCTTCTGCTCTTCTCCTCTTTGCCTACTCATCATGACATCTTGGCTGTGGCATCACATCCTCAGGGAAACCTCATCTGACTTTCTAACTTGATAACATCTTCATCTCTCTCCTCTTTGTAGCACTTCCCATGGTTGCAGTTTTACATACCTTCTTGTCATTCTTTGATTGTGTCTGTCTCATATAGTCAACTACACAAACTCTATGAGGCTACGCCTTCCAGAGTGGGTATTTCCACTGTTTAACTAGGATCTGGCATATAGATGCACCTCCAAGATGCATTGGTTCACGAAACTTAACCCTTGGCACTCTGGGTGCATCTCTGCAGGAATGTTAGGTACAAAAATACATGTGTGCTAATTACAGTATCGACCAACTCTGCTTAAATCCTGGCATGATTGAGTACATGTGGTCCCAGAAATTGAGGAAAAATGAATTAGAAATCTGTCAGAGTACATCATAATTTCCATGACTAACATAACTGTAGAATAGAACATTTCAATTCCTTTTGTCTTAAGATTTCTAAGATGCAACTCCTGGGTCGTCTGTATTCATGGATGATTTTTACATGACCAAAATATAACAACATAATTTTATGTATTAATTATGTCTTATTTGTACTCTAACATATAACTAGTATTTGAATTATTTTCTCCCTTAAGAAGAGGCTGTTTTAAATTATGAAGACTAAACTTAGACCCTACTGATAGTCCCAAAACCACAGTAAGGGAACAAGCTGGGAATTCCATTATTTTATCTTCAGGATGGCCAGAAATATTTCAAACTTCAGCCTTTTGATGACTTCACAGATGAATAACAATGTGGTTGGCTTTATTTAAAAAAAAATAGTAGGAAGAAATTAACAGGCATTTCTTTTCTGCAATTCCATCCCAGAGCATAATAATAAAACAAATTATTTTACATCCTTGATGTTCAAATGTCAAAAACTCAAAATTTCTTACATAAACAAAATCAGATGACTCTGCTTGGAAAACTTTTTTCTATTAATATAGGATCTGTTTTTTAAAAAATGCCCCTGGACAGTTCATTTGAATGGCCACAAGAGAGCAGTAAGAAATTAAAGCTTAGGAAGATGACTCACAGTCACACTGTTCTGTGTGCTCTCTGCTATTAGGAAGGATTGAAAGACAAGCCCACTCATATTTGTTCTTGGATTTAACAATATACTTTAGAATTTATTCACTTTACTTTTTTCTTCTTGAAAAGCTATTTAGGAAGGCAAATATAGATAACAAGAGTAAATTAAGTGAAAAGAATCAAAGCTTTTAGAAAATCAAGTTCATGTGTGAAAATAGAAGAAAATAATTCCCCAGAGCAAAGGGACATCTTGAGAGGTCATCTGGCCCATCCCTGTCTGTGGATTATGCAAGCCTGACAGAAAGGTATGTAACCCATTTACAAAGTACCCCAGAAGACTTCTGTGACTCTTTCCAGAGCACAGTCAAAATTTTAAAATCTTAACTATTAGGAATTTGTTAAATGCCTAATCCTATTCTTCATGTTATAATTTAACCATTATTCAAAAAAATATATATCTAGGGACATCCTGGATCTTTCTCTAATGCCTATCCCTATTTCTTTATGCACCCCTGATCATTTTTTTAAACATTTTTTTTTCAGTCATAGATGGACACAATACCTTTATTTTATTTGTTTCTATTTTTATGTGGTGCTGGGGATTAAACCCAGTGCCTCCCACATGCTAGGCAAGCACTCTACCACTGAACGACAACCCTGGCCCCACACCCCTGCTCCTTTTAGCCCATATTAGCTTTGCTACTTTTTACTTTGAACTTGGATGCTATGAATTTTTAAAAATAATTTTAAAATAATAAATTTGCAAAATGACTAGCAAATAGTCTTAATATATGAGACACTGTTAGATATTAGTCTAGAGAAACATTAAAGACCAGCATAAAAATAATAAATAATAAGCAGGCAGTTTGCAAAAGTAGGATGATAGTCAATATACAGACAAAAATTGTTCATGGTAATCAGTAAACAAAAAAAAATATGCAAACTTATGGGCATGGTAATGCATGCCTGTAATCCCAGCAGTTTGGGAGGCTGACACAAGAGGATTAATGTCTCAAAATAATTTTTAAAAAAAATGGCTGGGATGTAGCTCAGTGGTAAAGGCCCCAATAGAATAAGAAGAAGGAGAAGGAGAAGGAGAAGGAGAAAAAGAAGAAAGTTGAAATAGCATATTTTATGTTACTAGATAAGCACAAATTAAAAGGGATAACAATGTTGGGTATATCAAGAAAGAAAAGCTACACACAAACACAGGTCACAGTGGGAAAAACTTTCAAAAGTTAGTTTAGAAATCTGTATCAAAAAATTTAAAAATGTGAATTTCCTTTAACCTAGCAATTTTATTGCTAGTAATTAATTCCGTGGATACAACCAGGCAAATAAATGTCTTTGTTTTAATAGTAAGAAGAATTAGGAAAATAAGAACTTGAATTGTCTCAAAAAGGAAAATGAGTGAATTAAGGTATACCTATACAAATGGATTCTCATGAAAGCCATTACAAATGCTACAGATACATGTTCATTGTTATTGATCTCCACAGCCCATTTTAATTTAAAATGAGGTTGAAAACATCACATATAGTATGAATCCAGCTAGGTAGAATCCGGGACTGCTTTAAAAGATGTCTGGATGATATACACCAAAAAGGCCATCTGCCTGGGTAATGGCCTTATAGATGTTTGTTTTTCTTTTTCAGAACTTCCTTCAGGTCTGAGTTCATTTTCTGTTTTGTTTGTTTGTTTTGTTTTCCTTTTGCTTTTTTTTTTTTTAGGTTGGTTTTCTTTTTTAACAGTTAGTGTATGTTGCTTTCAAAATTTGTGAAAACATAAAAAAGCTATTTTTGTGTTGGCAAATAATCTTCATAATCTTAAACATTAGTTTGGTGAATTTG